GTTTACATGTGAATTACTCACCCGCTCGTCGGAGAGAAATAGGAACCTCTGTAGCATCAGTGATTCTTATTATTTTAGATGTCTATGGTGTAGAAACATTAATTATATTGACAGTCTACTTGCTTATTTCTCTTGTCTATAGAAAACTTTGGCAACTGTAGCTGCCTATTTTGCTGATGAATATGTTGAACAAACGAATCACACACGAGTCTGTACTTTCTCGTCTTCTCATTTTCCCTTTCAACATTGTTAAGGAAAAGGAAAAGGCATTTTCAGAAATCCTGAAATCCCAAAGACTCCAGAAAAAGTATATTAGTCGTACAGTATGACTGCTGTGTAGGTAGCAAGAGTCTTCCTCCTTCTGTGGGTGGAAGCCAAAATCCCACTGGACGTACAAATACCTTCACGGGAGTCTAATTCTCTAATTCTATTTCTTATTATTAGTTTGGGATTTTTATTACACGTAGCTATATATTCTCATCTCATGCACGTGAATCCTGAAGGGAAAGCATTAATCCTTAGTTCACTTAGAGTAAAAGTAAACTCCAGATCTTGTGGGTCACGGTATCTCAATCCCGATGGTGTAAATACAGAAGGAAAAAATATGATTCTACTATTCTCTTTATGTGTCTTCCAAAAATCAGCCAAGTGTATTTTGGCTGAAACAGTCCAGGAAGTTTTGCAGACAAATAACTGTGTTAGCAGATCTGAGGAGACGATAAATTCCCAGAAAAAGGCAGCAAAGTGTAGATGCTGGCAACCACTTTTATGTGGGCAGCTGTTTGCACGCTGAACGTCTTTTTCCTCCCCAGAGCTCATCTATGTTTCTGACTACGAAGAGACAGAATATGGATTTTATACGGTTTGGTGAAAGAAATGTAAGTGCATGAACACTTTTATTGATTCAAACTTGTTTAGGTTTGGATTGTACTTTTGCAGGGTTAACAATGAAAATAATGTGGGTAGGTCACTTTGGCTTGAGTCAAAGCAGTAGGTGGAGAGCCACAGGATCTTTGTATCATCTAGCTTAGAGCACCAATTATGAAATGAATTTCAGCGAATTCCAGCTATCTAAATATTTGGTCAAGGTATACTCACTTCATTATTAATGATACCACCAATGCTGACATCCTTGGACATCCATCTTAGAGGAAAGAAATTGTGTTTCTGTCTTGTGCTGTATTTCTCGTCATTAAATATAAAGTGATTCTAAGAAGACTGGCTCACATTTAGATGTCTGCAGAGATTTAGATGCTGAAGTTAACTGAGAGGCATCCAGCCCATCCAAAGTGAAATTCTTCTGTCTCATCACAGATGTCACTCTTACGCTAAGGTGACCTGCCCTTTGAAGGTGTCTATCTCTGTCTATATAAAATAAACACAGAACGGTTATTTGAAATGTGTATGTCTATCTTCTGTTCACCTAACTTAGGGAAGATGAATCCCAGACTGTGACTGTTAAAGATGATCTTGCACAGGTTCTCCAGTTGAGATTTCTTACACTGGGGTCATCGTCATGCCCAATCCAAGTTTCCCCCCATGCTTTAAACCTGGTTTTACTTGCAACTGTAGTTATTTCTGAGACCACAAGTCTGTCCCAAGCTACTAATCCTTTTGTAGCGTGGTTTTTTTGTTTTTTTTGTTTTTTTTTTTTTGTTTTTGTTTTTTTGTTTTTTTTTTTTGTTTGTTTGTTTTTGTTTTTGTTTTTTTGTTTTTGTTTTTTTTTCCCTTTTAGGATGGGACCTGTTGAGGAATTGGAGCCAGGAAACCAAACTGTCACTACTCACTTCTTACTTTTGGTGCTTGCTTTCCATGACAAGATGCAGCTCCTATTTTTCACGCTAATTTCCATCACGGTCCTGGCCATCTTGATAGGGAACTCTCTAATTGTTGTGATTGCAACCACTGACCCTGTCCTACACACACCCATGTACTGCTTCCTACAGGATCTTGCCTTGACAGAGATTTGTTACAGCCTGAGCATTGTCCCCATGCTGCTCGCGGCTGTGGTGGTGGAGAGAAAAATTATTTCCTTCATAGCTTGTGCCTTGCAGCTCAGCTGTGTTATTCTTTCGGTCACCTGCGAGGGTTTCCTCTTAGGTACAATGGCTTGTGACTGGCACGCGGCAATATAGCACCCATTGCATTACGCCACCACGATGAACAGGCATCGCTGCTTCAAGGTGGCTACTGGGTCCTGGCTGTCTGGTGTCCCTGTGGCTCCAGGCTTCACCACACGGTTATTTACCCTGCCCTTCTGCAGGAGAAATGAGGTCGATCATTTCATTTGTGATGTTTTTCCTATGTTGAAGCTGGTGTGTGCAGACACAGCCTTGTCTGAACTACTGATTCTCATTGCTACTGTCGTAACAGCGATGATTCCCTTTCCTCTGATAGCCACCTCTTACCTTCACATTATCCATGCTGTTCTTCAGATACCCTTGGCTGTGGGCCAGAGGCAAGCCTTTTCCGCCTGTGCAGCTCAGCTGGTGGCAGTGACTTTTTTCTACAGCACAACTGGCATCATTCACCTGCGACCCAAGTACAGCCTCTCATATGACAGGAAGAGAATGGCTTCCCTGTCTTACACAATTCTCACCCCCATGCTCTGTTCCATCACCTGCAGCTTGAGGAATCAGAAAGTCAAGCAAAGCCTGAAGAGGTGAGTTGGCAAGCGGTTACTTAGGAAGCAGATGGCTATTTTTTCTCTGCCCAGGTGACAGATTCCTTGTCACTGCACAGAAGAGAAATCAGAAGTGTTACCCAAGTGAAAACATTAAATGGAATTTATGAATTAAGTGAAATGCTTTTGAAAAAGACCTGTGTCTTTTTAGCAATCCTTTGCTGTTAAATCCCCAAAATATCCAGCCTTTTTTACTTGGCATATTAGAATGAATTATAGTTGCTGTACCTCTGGGCTTGCAGACAAAGACGTAAACCCGATTCAGTGTTACAGAATATTACAAAAGCGGATTATAAAATTCTTATCCTCCCCCATCATTCTACCTCTATGTCCATAAGTTTATAAAGTCTCTGCGTTGGGAAAAAAAGAAGTTTGTTTTCCTCACCGTGAAAGCAAAAGTGATAGCCTGGAACTTCTCTCTCTCGCCCCCTTCCGCCCCTACCCCTCCCCCCCTCCCCCCCAAAACACCAACCCCACACCCAAACACCTCAATAATGAGTTGAGAAACAAGTTGGTATCTTATGATTGGAGGAAAGGAGCTGCGTCTCTTGGAAGTGTCTTTCCTACTGACGGGAGAGACCGGGTTCAAGTCTAGACTTGATTGGATTTTTTTTTCCTCTCAGAACAAAGATCTCTTTCCCAAAGTAGCTAGTGACTTGCTCAGTTCAAAACAGAAAGGGTCAACTGACACATTGCCAGCCAGCTGCAGTAGCTTTGTTTTAACTGATTCCCTTCTCATGTAGGCTGAAAGCAAACTATGGGAGGGGATTGTTTCTTAACTCATCGAGCATGATACTTTCTGTCTGATTCTTTTTCTGACTTGCCACGTGGAGCGTTCATTAAAGCGAAATGTGACTTGCGCATTTATTTCTCTCTGCTTATTTCAGTCTAACTTCAAGCCCAATTCTGCTCTTGCTTCTATCCGAGCAGCATTTTCTCTTCCAATTTGTGTGATGAATACCTAATTGACATCACTGTCTGGTAAAGCAGAAGCAACAAAGGCACACTACTACAAACACAAAAGGACGATCATACGATTCCTGGTGTATTGGGTGTACATGTTAGGTTTTGATGAACCTGGGAAGAAAAAGGAGGGGTGGGGGGACGGTGTTTTAGTTTTGTCTTTGTTTCTACCCATCCGATCCATTTTAATTGGCAATAAATGAAGTTAACTTACCCCAAATTGGTCTGTGTTGCCCATGCTGGTAATCAGTCAATGACCTCCAAAATCTTACTGCAACTCAAGAGCTTTTTTGTCTTATTTTCTCCTCCTGTCCTGTCCTGTTGAGGAGGGGGTATGGGTGGATGGCTGTGTTGGAGTCTGGCTGCAGTCCAAGATCAAGCCAACATAGTAGTGTAAGTTACGAGTGTTGGTAAGAGGGGATTTTGGGAATAAGAAATGGATAAAATGGGACATAAAAAGAGGGATGACATGTTTTAATGCAGTGTGGGTTAGGTACGTGGGAAGGTTTGAGTAGGCTATAGAAAGGAAAGCGGGTGACTGGAATGGTCAGAGGATACGCCGATGTACCAGACGAGGTCGGACGTGAGCGTGACGCAGATGGTATGGAATAAAGTGTGGAGATTGTACTGTGCCTGGCTGGGATGGGGCCAGATTTCCTCAGAGCAGCCTGTACGGTCTGTGCTTTGCATTTGTGGCTCAAACAGTGTTGATAAAACACCACTATTTTGGCTGTCGCTGAACGGTGCTTGTACAGTCAAGTCTTTCTCTCCAGTCCCACCCCCCACAAAGACCAGTATCTGGGGGTAGGGAAGAGGCTAGGAGGGGATGCAGCCAGGACAGCTGACCCAAACTGCCCAAGGGGATATTTCATGCCATAGGATGTTGTGCCCAGCAGTAAAAGCTTGGGGAATGGAGGAGGAAGGGGACATGTTCATGGTTAAGGCGTTTGTCTTCACAAGTAACAGTTAGACACGCTGAGGCCCTGCTTCCTAGGAAGCGGCTGGACATCTGCCTGATGATGGGAAGCAGTGAATTAATTCCTTTTTTGCTTGTGTGTGCCGCTTTTGCCCTTCTTGTTAAACTGGTATTACCTTGACCCACGAGTCTTTTCAGTTCCCTTTGATTTTCTCCCCACAGGAGCGGGGAGTGGCCAACAGGTAGGATGCTTACACAGTTGCAGAAAATTTAAGAATAAACTGAGTCACTTGGCGGTTTTCAATTAACCCACTCCCTCATACAAAGTTTCCACTTTTACTTCTGTCTTAAGTAAATGCCTTGTGCTTGTATAAACATGTCTTCAGTTGAAACCTATACTCCCAACGCTCCTGTTTGTGGTGTTATGCTGGTGTGGAGCCCGAAGTCACCACATCCCACACCTCGTGACACTTGGGTTCTCATTTGGGCAGGGTGAATTTCCTCCCTGAAACATAGTGAGTAGCCATGGGCCGTTACCCAAAGCTAGCAAAAGCAGTCTAGACATAGCCTATATGGTGAGAGAATTAAACACGTTCGTAAGGATATGTGGCGGGGCAGTGCCTGCTCCTTTAGGGGAACCTGGTCAAGAACCTTTTCAGTGTGACAAGGGGTGATAAGAATTGACCAGCTGGAGAGAAGGAAGGGGACGTGTCTGTCTGTGCTTATGTTTTATGTGAGTCCTCTCTGAAGGTGCTGTTGCTTGTCTGTGGCACTTTGCATGACCGGCTGTGTCGGCGTCCTCTCTGTGTGTGTACCACTGTGTGTCTGCACGTGTCTGCGATACACGCTCGGCTTCGTTGCTGGTTGAACATGCGGATGGGAAAGCGGCAGCCGCCATCCCCTTTGCTGGGTGGGAGGGTGCTGGGCCAGCGCAGCTGGGGGAGGTGGCCGTGCTCTAACATCACTTAACAAGCTCAGGGGGAGAACCACAAACAGCCGGAATGATGCCATGCTCTGTGCTCAGCCTCAGAGAGACCAGAGATAATAGAGTTTATGTTCTTACTGCCATTTCCTCAGCTGCTGCTGTTCCACACGTCGGTTGGCCCAAGTGGCTCACTCTTCCTTCAAGAGCTGCTTGTTTACATTTATACCACCTGGGTTTTGGAGTAATACTTGTCTTGGTGACCCCCTGACTTTGTGTATGCCGCAGCCTTTTAGACAAAAAGGCTTTGCCTGGCTGCCAGCATTGCTCAACAGTTCTTTGATTCCTGCTTGCTGTGAGGTAATTACAGGTGTCATTATAGGTAATAAGCAGGGTCATTGTCTGCTTTTTCTTTGTTTGTTTGTCATTCTTTTACTTCTGAGTGTCACTTCTTTGTACTTCTTGATTCAGTTAGCAGGAAGGTGCCCTAACACACCTTTCCAGGTGTCCAGGGATAGTCTTCTAGCTACAGCTTGCCTCCCCTCATTGTTCAGGTCAACAATATCTTGAGGCACGCTACCAGTGCAGCCTGTCCAATACATCACTCCAATACGGCTCCTCTTCAGCCTTGAGACAGTTAAGTCCCCAGTTCCTTAAGCCTACTAGCAAAGTATGTGGGAGCGAAACAGCATGAGCAGGATAAGGAGACTCTGTTAGAACACTTAGTTCAATTGCATATATAAAAGTTAGTGAGACTGCATGGGAAGCACCTGAGGGCAGTGGTGAAGGGACTGACTGGTGGTTGGTGCCACTGCAAGTTCACTCTCTCTTTTGTCTCTGAAAGGTTGTGGTGACCACAGGAGGCCCTGATGCCTGGGAGAAGGCAAACATCACCCCCCTCTTTGAGAACAGCAAGAAGGAGGAGCTGAGGAACTACAGTCTCACCTCTAGTACCTGGGAAGGTGATGGAATAATCCCTTCTGGTAGTCGTTTTGAGGTCCACGAAGAACAAGGAGGTGGTGGGAACAGCCAGCATGAATACAACACGGGCAAATCAGGCCCGATCAATTTGACTGACTTCTGTGATGAGATAACTGTCTGGATAGACATGGGAGGGCAGTGGATGTTGAGTACCTTAATTTGAGCAAGGCCTTCAGCACAATCTCCTACGGACGCCTTAGACCTAAATTTGGAAGATATGCTCTGGGCAAGTGGATAATAATGACAGTGGTCAGGATTACCAGGCTCCAATGGCTACGTGGCAAGAGATCCTGCTAGCAGCTAGTTACCAGTGGTAATTCTCAGGGACCAGTACTGTGGCTAGTACGGTTTAATTTCTGTTTTGAGAACCTGAGTGATGGAATAGAGCGCACTCTCAGCATGTTTGCTGATGCTTCCAAACTGGAGCGAGTGGTAATGCACTGGAGGGAAGAGACTGTCCTGAGGGGGACATTGACAGGCCAGAAAAGTGGTCTGACTGGAACCTCCTGAAGCTCCAGAAAAACAAATGAGGACTTGGACATCTGGGAAGACAGAAACAATCCCACACAACGGGGCGGGCCAGAGGGATGACTAGGTAGAAAGCAGCTTTGAAGAAAAAGCCACTTTTGGGGGTTAGGTGGACAAGAAGTGGAAGGTGTGCCAGCAGCATGCCCTAGCTTCATGGAAGTTCAAAATCACCTTGGGGTGCACTGGCAAGAGCACAGGCAGCCAGTGGAGGGGAGTGATCTCTTTGGCACTTCTGAGATCATTGTCTGGAAGAATGTGTCCAATGTTGGACTACCCAGTACGGGAAAGACGTTACCTAGTGGAGTGAGTCCAGTAGAGGAACACAGGGACACTCGGGTGATTCGTGGTCTGACACACCCCAAGGGCAAGGCAGGGCTGGGAGACTGGGTTTCTTCATCCTTGTCCCTTCCTAGGGGAAGGGGATCATCTTACTGTCAGCACCTACTTAGTGTGGGGGTGGATTCTCTCAGAGAAGACGGAGGCAAATCATTCTCAGAGGAGCACGGTCGTAAGATGCAAGGTGATGGGTGCAAGTTGGAACATGGTAAATTTGGATTAGATACTGAGGGATACTTTTTCACCTTTAGGGTGTTCAGACTTGGAAGAGGCTGCCCAGAGAGCTTGCCCAAACGTCCTTGAAATTGTTGAAAACTTTACCGGACAAGACCCTACCCAGTTGTCCTGCTTTGAGCAGGGGCAGGCCCGAGACTGCAGAGGTTTCTTCCAACCTACATTATTGTGTATGTCTACAAAACTACACCGAACACACTGTGTTTTCAAACCCGCAATTGGGCTGGAGGAGAGCTGCCAGGAACTTTACGGAAGAAATTTTAAAGCCACCTTCCTAGAAAGAGGCCTCTGTATGATTCAGAAGTTCCTGTGGGATTTACAGACCGACTTCTGAACTACTTGGACTAGAATTGAACATGTTACTTCTGTAAACAGTTGTGGAAATTATTGCACCGGATTGAAAATGAAGCTTAAGAAAGATGCAAATCTGGGATGGTTTTGACTATGAAGGGGCCAGAAACTCCTCCTTATCTCTGAAATGCCAATAAAAATAAAACTTCAGAAATCCTAACACATCTGAATGGATGGAACACATACTAGGTTTTGCAAATTCTAATATTTGGAAGAGATTTAGGAAACGTTGCCTAAACACTGCTCCAGCTCAGCTGAGGTTGCACGACCCATGCCTCTCTTGCCAGTAGAAATTTCAACCATCAAATCCGTGCACCGAGATGGAGATATGTGTGTTGGATTTTTTTTTTTTCTTTCAGGGGGGTGGTGGTGGGAGGGTTGGTTGTTTTGTTTGGGTTTGGCGTTTTTTTTTTTCTCATTAGCTAGTGTCTGTGGTCTGCTTCCTTTTTTGTCTTCTGTTTTACAGGTGGCTCATCCTTGCATATACATGTTTAGGGAATGCTTTGTTCGTTGCTCTGAAACTCACCATTGATTTGCAAATCTCATCTCAGGAGACCGATCAAAGCAATAGGAAATTTACCTCCCACGCGATGTTGTTGATATTTTGCACATTCTGAACATGATAAAAAGACTTTTTTCCCCCTCTAACTAGGTCATCAGAGGTTTCAGGTACAGCTTGCAAAGCTTCCTCCTTGCATCCTACCTGAATAAGTACAAGCCCCTGGGAACTTGCGGTAGTCCTTTTCATCACACCTGCAGTATTAATCTCTCAGCTAGAAGAATGCCAAGTAGATATGGAGGGAAAAGGGAGAACAGAATTTATCAGTCTTTTAACTCCGCAGAATAAGTTGTTTTGTCCTCAGGTTTGCTTTCTGGCTCACTATCAGAGGGCCCTACTACAAGGAGGAAAATGCTGATTGGTAGTGAGGTGAGCTTTGTGCAGAATTATCTTTTTTCTATTATGCAATTTATGTAGTTGGAAAAATAGGCAGGCTTCATCAGTCTTTTCTTTGTGTTTGCATTTAAGGGAGAACCTTCTAATTGAAATTGCCTCTATACCTCTTCAAATACAGGTGACTGACTAAAATTTTGATAAGGCTATAATATTATCAAATCTGATGCTGCCAGCAGAACTTCTTCAAAGATCAGACTAAAAGTATTTTCAGAGAAATTTGATCAGGTTTTTAGAGTGGATGCATATGTGCGTAAATTACCTTTAGGCTACGTGCTCATGGTCTTTTATTATGAAATCAGTTTAGAAGCTTTCTGTTTGTTTACTGGTTTTATGTTGAAACAATAAGCTAAAGAAACATGAGAAAAAGAGTGACTGGGCTGGAGAGCTATCATAAGGACTTTCAGAAATCCCCTGTTTTCAATAAAAGCATATAGTTCAGTGAAATGGACAAGAAAGACTATGAAATGTATCTATAGGTGTTTTACGTTCTTGGCAAGAAATATTTTGGAAGTGATTCTTTTTTTCATTCGTCGTATTCATCAATATTAATCATCACTGCATTGAATGTACAGAGAAAACAACTTGTCTTGTACAATTTGCAGTCTATATGGTAAGCTAGAAATACCTGCCCTTGTAAAAAAAGTACCTGCCTACCTGCCCTTGTAAAAATATCTCAGGACTTTGTTCTTTATTGTCTATGGCTGGGACTTGCCCATAGCGATAAAGAAACTTATCTGAAACAGAAAAAAAGAGTGAAAGCTAGTGCTTACTCGTTCACGTTTGAGGAGAGGAGCGATCCTGTCAGAACTGATCAGATTGTCTCAGTGGGGCAGGACAATCAGTTTTCAGTGGGATGAACAAATCTGTCTGCAACTCACACCAGCAAACTCAGCTCCTGCAAATTCAGCCTTGCTCCATCACAGTGTTGTAGGAGACGAGATTGCTGCCTTTCGTCCCATTCATCTGCTGCTGATCAACAAAAAGACGTTCTCTAGGCAAAGCATACAGTCCCATAACAAAACCAGTTTGTGATCACATGCTAAAGCATCCTCTCCTTTATTCTCGGAAACATGCAGAAGAAAGGCTGATGATTCCGTGGTACCCGGGAGCACCTTCTGGTGGTTGTTGATCAAAATTGGAAATTGTGTAATTTTTAAGATCAAAGAACTCTCTGGAAGAGATGGTAGCCATTAGAAAGGTGAAAGTTGAAGCTGGCTTAATGAAATCTAGGCACAGTATTAGAAAGACAGCATTGGGCCTGATTCACATTATGAGTTAGAAGCTTTATTGGTGACATTGGTGACATGAAAGGTTGTACCAGCAAGTTACAGATGAGCAGATTTGAAATGTGAATGTGGCTGAAGGTGAAGGAGCAGCAATGTTTTGCATCTTACATGTCCTGCTGTTTGCTAGATGTAAGTTTCTGTTTGAATATTTTCCCCTCTAACATTTTACTCTGTCCTAGACAGAAGGTAGAAGACTACATCAAAGTTCTTTTTGTCCATGTTAATTACTTGAATTTCTACGCAGCTTTTATTTTTGCTTACATGTGTTATGTTTTGTTCTATTCTGCATTTGTTTCTATTAAAAGAGCACAGAAGCAAATGAATTTTGTAATCCTGTTACTCCTCACAACTGTGGAACCTTGACAGTTTGCCTTTGCTTTTTACGATTCTAGCAATGGTGAACCAGACAGAGGTCAGTGAGTTCATCCTTTTGGGCCTCACCAATATCCCGGGGCTGCAGCACTTTTTCTTCGTCTCCTTTCTGTTGCTCTACTTGACCAGTCTTCTGGGAAATGGTGCCATTGTGACCATGGTGATATCTGAGCCCCGGCTCCACATACCGATGTACTTCTTCCTGGGGAACCTGTCCTGCCTAGACATTTTCTACTCCACAGTCACTGTTCCCAAGATGTTGGCTGGCTTTCTCTTTGGGCATCAGCCCATCTCTGCTGCCGGGTGCTTGGCCCAACTCCACTTCTTCCACTTCCTGGGCAGTACTGAGGCTGTGCTCCTGGCTGCCATGGCCTATGACCGCTACGTGGCCATTTGCAACCCTTTGCGCTACGCGCTTGTCATGAGCCCACGGACTTGTCTGCTGCTGGCTGTGGCCAGCTGGTCGACTGGTTTTGTACATAGCGTGATGCATTCAGTCATGGCCTCTCGACTGAGTTTCTGTGGCCACAACTACATTCATCACTTCTTCTGTGACATCAAGCCACTGTTGAGTTTGGCTTGCAGTAGTACCAGCCTCAACATGACCCTCCTCAATGTTGTCACGTCATCTATTGCTCTAGGCCCCTTCATTCTCATAGTCCTCTCCTACCTCTACATCATCTCCTTCATCTTCCAGAAAGCCCAGTCCCAGGAAAGATGGAAGCCCTTCTCCACCTGTGCCTCCCACCTCACCATTGTGGCACTGTTGTACATACCAGTGCTCTTCAATTATACACCACCCTCCTCAGGAAGCTCCCCTAAAAGAGAGGTGCACGTGTCTCTCATATACAGTGCTGTCGTCCCAGCTCTGAACCCCTTGATCTACACTCTTAGGAACCAGGAGGTGAGATCTGCCCTGAAAAGAACGTTAGGGAGAAAACTCTTTCCTGGAGGAAAGTGACTAAAACAAGAAGAAGACTCAGAATGTGACTCCTCCACCTCTCATATTTATGAGGAAAGAGGTCAAAAGGACACTGTATTTCAAGAGACTGAAAACTTATTCATTACCTCACGTAGTTCAGCACAGCTAGATGTTAATTGCATAGATGTAGATGAGGGGAGATTTTCAAGGACTTGATGCTTCTCCTGTCATTTTTAGATGTCTTAACAGTGCCCCATCTGGTCTCTGGCTTCCAATACAGAAGCACGCGTGTCTCCTGCAGGCCTTGTGGCACAGCTGACAGCCCCATGCAGTTGTCCTGGATGATCTAAGGTATGAAGTGATCACTTGATGGCTATGTGTAGGCAGCTGAATGACCCTCCTGTCATTCAGACCTTCTGTATAGCTGAAGAGAGGTACCATGTGTTACATTTTGGGTGTTCACAGGCTGAGAACGGTATTGTCAACAACTGGCTTGAGTCAGCCCTCTGGAGGGATCGGTTTATTTCCATGAAGTAGAAGGGGAACCTTGCTAATGAACCCAGATTTAAACAGAAACTTAAAAATGGATGTGAGTTTCCCCTCTACTAGCTTTAGCAGTGTGGCTTATCTTGCCTAGATTGATATATTTCAATGTCTATGTGTCCAGCTACTTTTCCAGATTCACATTATGGTGGATGATGAAACAATTGATTTGCATTTACACAGACTGCTACAGACACGTTCAATGTCCTCAGGGAGCCTGCCCAGACCTTACCTGTGGATCCAGAAGAGAACAGGCCTGTTGCAAGTCCTTCGTCATAATTCATGCCTGCAAAGTATGTACATTCCTCGTAGCACTCGATTTCTACTTATATTTAGGCACTAAATCCCAGTTCCCAAGGTGGGGTGCAGCGGTTTATAAGCACGTGCTTAATTTTTTGGTGCTGTGGTTCTTTACTCAGACATTCACCACCTTCAGTCCTAGCCTGACCTGCAGGTCCATGTTGAGTTAGATGAAAAGCATATGACATTCTCAGGCACTAGATGTGTTATGTCTGCCTTTTGGATTACTGAGGAGAGAATCAAGGGGTGCTCTGAACGACAGTTCATTATGGCCTAGATGCAGAGGATGGAGGACAAACTCCTGGCTACAGGTATGATTTCTGGAGATGATACCTTGACCCAGTTGGCCATGTGTTTGCAATCCACAGATTTTTAGAAAGACTTCATCCTTTCCAGCTTGACAATTCAGATCCATGCAGTAGCATTAAGCATTAAACGGTGAGGCATTTGAAACAATACTCACTACGAGAACACAAATGTGATTTGGTCACCTAAGAGAAGGCATCTGTAGGCATCATACCAGAGACTTGTGTGTCCTCCACCTGATGCTCTAGAAAGACACGGGAATCCATTTGGTTCTGCTTCACACGTGCCAATCTTGTGGAACGTGCAAGGTAGCAATCTAAGATGTGAACAGACTCCTGGATGTTGGCAACAGACCCTGAAGAGATCCAGGCTTAGACGTCCCTATATCAGCTAAGCATCTAAATTCCACCAAGGTACAAATACCTCCCGTAGGAGCTTGCTGCCACTCCAGATGCCCAAAGGTACCCTGCATGGCCTTCAAGTTGGCACTTCAAAATGACAGGCAGGTCTGTCTTGCTGGTCCTTGAACAAAGCTACAGACTTGTTCTAAAGGCTTGGGTGTAAAAGAGTATCTTTAACGGCCTCAAGTGCGTATGTTCAGACAACTGCAACAAGCGCCTTGAGCTGAGTTCCACTCTCCTGCCCATCTTTCTTACTTAAGCCCAAATGTGTTAATACTTTCCTCAGGACTTCTGAAGATGGCAACCCTAACTCCAAAAAAGGGCATTACGAACAAGATAGGAGTTCTTTCTGTCAGCACAATCCTTTCTCATGGAACCATCAGCAGCATTTCTGCACCCTCCCTGAGCACTCACATGCTCCCTTCAGCACTCTTGGCCACTAAGAATAACTGCCCCCGAGACAGACAGAAGGCTCAACAAACTCTTGTAATACTGGGAAGTAATGATATGTTAGAATCATTCAGGCTGGAAAAGTCCTTTAAGATCATCGAGTCCAATCATTAACCTAACTGTCCTGGGTTTGAATGAGTGGTGGGATTTTTGGCAGCAGGGGAGAGGGATATAGGGGTGGTCCCCTGTGAGAAGCTTCTCGAAGGTCCCCCACCTCCAAGTCAGCTCCACCTCTGCACCAAAACTGATCAGAGACCCCTCTGTATCCTGTGGTGAGACGACAGTACGGCCCCCCCGTCACCCATGAATATCTAGTGTGGAGCAGGCACTGATTTATGGACTGTATTTCACATGGATGATCAAGGTGTCTGTGCCTGAAGGAGGCCGGGGTCTTGTGGGAAATAGTAGACCCCGCTGATGTAGATCAGCGCTGGGAGGATTGCAGCATGCAGGGGTGTCCCACACCAGAACAGCCCAGGAAGGGCTGCAGCCTGTGGGAGGGACTCCAGTTGGAGAAAGTTGGCGTCCCATGCCGGAGCAGTGTAAGGAAACACTGTGGCCCGTGGGAGGGACTCATGTTGGAGAAAGTTTGTGGAGGACTGTCTCCTGTGAGAGGGGGACCACGCTGGAGCAGGGGGAATAAGTTCCAGAAGCTTCCCCCACTGAAGATGGCAGAAGCGGCAGCCCTGACTGCACCCCCCATTCTTTGCCCCCTGTGCTCCTGGGGGAGGAGGTAGAGATATCGGGAGCAGAGCTGAGCCCGGGAAGAAGGGAGGGGTGGGGGGAAGGTGTTCCCAAGATGTGGCAATGCTTCTCACTGTCCTACTCTGTTAAATGCTGTTGTTAGTGTCTGTTATAAGTCTATGTTCTTTTTTTCTTCCACTGAGTCTGTCTTTTGCCCGTGATCATAATGGATGATCTGCCCCACCTAGTCCTATCTTGAATCCGAAGCCTGCCTCATTTGTCCCTTCTCATCACTGGAAGAGAAGGGAGGAGTGAGTGGCTGTGTGGTGTTTGGCTGCCGACCAGGCTCAAGCCACGACGCCAACACTGCCAGCTCCACCACTAAACAATGTCCCTATGTGCCACCTTTACATGTCTTTTAAATACCTCCAGGGATGGTGACTCAACCACTTCCCCAGGCAGCCTGTTCCAATGCTTGACAACCCTTTCAGGGAAGAAATTTTTCCTCATATCCAGTCTAAACCTCTCCTGACGCAACTTGAGGTCGCTTCCTCTTGACCTAGTACTGGTTAACCGGGAAAAAGAGACCGATAACCACCTCGCTAAAAAAAAAAAAGTCTGTGTGTGCGTGACACTTACTTCTGTTCTTAACTCTTTAGCTAGCTCACCATCCACTAAATTTTCTTCTGCCTTTTTCTCCATTTTTACAAAAGCTTATTTGCCTGCCTGTCTATCTGTCAAATATCTGTTCCATCAGCTTGATATTTGTCCTGCCCAATATTTGCCTGTTTAATTCTTGAACAAGTACCATCACTAATCCCTGCCTCTGATCTTCTCATATTTTATGATATTGGTTTCTCATCTACATATTGGTTTCTGTGTCTTCTGATATTATGCCCATCTCCAGTGATGCAACCGGGGTTTGTTGTGTTGGTATACCTTATAGTCAAGTGAAAGAGTTTGAAAACCCATCTTCAAAATGTTATAAGATGTTATCTGTTTTTTGAATAATTTTATATATGTCACGATTCTTGGTGCAGAAAGGTATCTGCCATCCTAACTGAGCATGCAGGTAATTTTACAGGAACAGCCCCAGAAGGAATTGGAGCTCTTACTGGATTTGCAATGCAGTGTTGTTTCTGAAGATGGTAAGAGGGCCTAATTTTATCACAGACGGCTTTGCCCTTCACAACTCCCGAGAGAAACAGCCAAAAACACACAGAGAGGCTTGACCACTAAGAGAGCATGGGTTGGTTTTCTTTGATAGCATCATCCCCTATTGGAAAAATTATGTTTATTACGTTCATTTGGAGTATGTTAAGTTACATCACCGGACTTCAGTAAGAAACAAGAAATGCCCTGTTGCATCATATGCTCATTAAGAACTTGAAGTCTATCAAAACTCTTTCTCAAAGACTATTTCTCCTATTAGCCACCTGGTGACTGTACAGAGAATTAGCGGCAAGCAAAAGCTTATTACCCGTTGCTCGGTCTATCAAGCCCTTGGGTAAAAATTGCACAGTGTGAAGGATGGTCTCAGGAGTACAGTTTTCTGGAGCTTTAATGGGGCCTGCTGAGGCTATTAAAGATGGAGCTGTTGCAGGAAGTCTCAGTGGCCCTCCTGAGGGGGCTGATCAGAGCAGAAAATCTGAGCATGGTTGCAGGAAATTAAAGGAGGGAATAAGGTTTTTTTCACCAGACAGCCCCTTTGACGTATCCTGTCAAAGAAAGAGGATGCATGCCGACCAACAGCAGGACCTTTTCAGGCCTCGCCTGCCTGAGGCTTCTTTCTGGTCAGCGTAGGGTGTGCAGAGGAGACACCCAGGCTCCTGGGAGGCTGCAGCGACCACACAGCAAAGGTGCCTGAGCAAAGGTGTGTCGGTCCGGCCCACACACGGCTGCTATCCCAGTTTGGGGCTGCCCTCCTCCCCTGTGTGCCCCGGCCTCAAGGGCTGCTGCTCAGGCCTGAAACACAGCCCTCGCCAAGTCACTTTTCCCGATACCCCACACTCAGTGCCATACCCTCTTCCCCATCTCAAAGCCTGGAGCAATTCCCTGAAATACTGCCCTCTCTGAGCTCCTCCACCTCTGCAATACTTGTCCAGCTCACCCGGGGCCCCTCACTGAACTGCCATCACTCTTCTACAAGTGTCCCCAGTGGGATGTTCAATGGAAATGATTCTGTCAAATGGTCATTGTAAAGGTTTTATGTGTCAGAGATCAAGGTATGAGTTCCCCTCTGATGTAGAGAGTTCTTTTAGCAGTAAAATGCATACGTACTCGTGATGTGGGTGCTCAGAAACAACAGTTCCTCTGCCACTGTCTAAAAGTGGAGAGAAATGTCTGTCCACAGTGTCCACAGCAAAAAAAAAAAAAAAAAAGAAAAAAAAAAAAAGAAAAAATGACTTGAAATGCATAAAGAGAAAGCAGAAGGGAGTATTTCAAGTTAGACTAAGGTCCTATCTCATCATTTGCAGGATTATATTATCTTAACTATTAACTGAGATAACTCAGAACATGCAGACAGCTCAGTGAAGACATCTCAGCCCAGTTTGGAATCTCTGGTGTTCATGGGTAAGTGTCAAGTTCTAGCCTACACAGCTATCCTTGCATTATAGCTATTATTGTTAGATTAAGTCCTCATAGAGAGCAATGCATCATTATTGTTTTCCACTGTTGAAAAAGTAGCCAAAGACGCACACACACACAAAATAAATAAATCCAGAGTCCACAAAACATGACCTATGCCAATCCTGAAGTTGTATCCCGGGAGTCCACAAAAGAGAGCTGTGGTCCTCTGCAGGGTTTTCTCTACCCTTTATCCACCAGAAAATGGCAGGCATCAGATGCCCAAATAACCTCCAGGAACACCCCTCCCTTGGCTTCCTGACAGCTGCTTACCCTGAGGACTCTGCGCCTGCCTCTTTAGCAGACGTGGAAGACCCATCAGATAGGACACTGTTTTCCTGAACCCTCTGACTCATGCACTCTTTGCAACTCCCTTGGGAGCAGATTCTCTGGGAAACAGGGCAAGCTGGTCTCTATCTTATACGCTCATCCTGCTTGTCAAGGCTTGGCTTGCTGCTAAATCCTCATCAGCCTACCTAGCACACATCAGTTTGAATTTTCTAATGCATCTCAGTGACATCAGTTACCTTCCTTTCTTTTTTTTCCTACAGTTCTTAATTTCCTTATTTAGGCAGTTTCACAGTGTTCAGATTTCAGCTGGAAACATCTATTTTCCCCTTCCCAATTAAAAAAAAAAAAAAAAAAAAAAGAAGAGTTCTTAGGTTGTAGAGCTCAAATTTCCATCAGATATATCCAGATCACAGAGTTCTACTTCATTGTGTCTGTAATTTCTTTCTGAAGTTAATTAGGAGTATCAATTCAGATTGCATAAGAGCTAAGTTCTACAATAAGCATTTCAGTTAAAGAATCCCTGATTTTTCTGCCTAGTTATACCCTGAATCATTAACTTCTTTTATCGCTGTTGTCAGAGGAAAGCATTTCAGAAAAGAGAGAAAGAAATATGTCATGCTTATGGGATGCTTATGGGATGTTAGGTTCTCTCCTGTCCAAAACCCAGATCGTATCCTCCCAGATTAAAGCTTCATTAGAAAAATAGCCATCCTCTGGCATCCCTAATTGCTCCCAAAACACATATGCAGATAAGCAGAAGGAATGGGACTCTGCAGCAATGTACGGCATGTACTGGAGTACACGACAGGAATTTCAGCAAACACAGTGAGGACTCTGGTAGAGAAGATGATTTCAGATACCGGTTAAAGGATGGGATGAATCACACCCAAGAAGTGACAAAGTCTTCGTATTGGCTGTAAAGGGAGTCTTCTTATCTAGGCATATCTACACTGTAGAATGCCAGAGTTAGCTGTGCCCTTCCACCCAAGCTGTTTGAGGATATTCTGTAGAAGGTTTCCTCTTTAGATCGAGCTGCGGTGGCTCCCATGCCTGACACGTGAGATCGACTTTGCCCTTTATCTTCTGTGGAGTGAATAGCAGCAGTTCTGAAGAACCCTGCTCACTTGCTGGGTTTGATCATAGTAGGAGCAGCTAATGTGCGATGGACCAAGATCCTGGCCTAGTTATTTCAAAAAAGTGCAAAATTGTATAGGGGTTGCATAGGGATTTTTTTGAGGAAGTCCAAAAAACATATTTTTTTTTTTTTCCCCAAATAGCCACCCAGATCCACTTGTGACTAAGCAAACTGTTACATCCGTGACCGTATACTTGCTGTGGAAATTGCCTCCAATGCTTTATATTTTTATAGTCTGTCCCCCAAGCCCTGCCCCCTCCTCAAAAAAAAAAAAAAAAAAAAAAAAAAGGCTCACAGAGCATAGCTCTTGCTGTGTCCTTTCTATAAACCCATAAATGCCTGGACTTATTTCCCTAGGGCTCTTCTGACTTTTTTGTTTCTTAAGGTGTAGATAAGTGGATTCACCACAGGTGTCACCACAGTGTAGAAGACAGACCACAATAGTGCCCGCAATGAGGTGAGAGGAGCATGTGGAAAAATGCCTTTTGCCTCCCTGTCGCTGAAGGGATTCTCGGGATGGTGATGATGATTAAAATAATTACTTACCCAGGCCCCTGCAGCTAGTGCTAAGCAAAGCTTCAGATACATTAGGGTGACCTATCGTAAAGGTTTGTCTACTGTTATATACTGCGATCATAAGACATCACTGCCACGAGGTAACACTCTACCCCAACTAGAAGAGCAAATATGAAAAACTGTGTCATGCAGCTGCTGTAGGAAATACTTCTGCTGCCTGTCAGGAAGCTGGCCAGCAGCGTGGGCAGGATGGCGGAGCTGGAGCACTTCTCCAAGAAGGACAAGTTACTGAGGAAGAAGTACACTGAGGTGTGGAGATGCTGATCAGCCATCACCAACATGAGGGTGAGAATGTTCCCCATCATTGTCACCAGGTAGATCACCAGGAAGAACAGGAAGAGAGGAACCTGAAGGTCAGGTAAATTGCTGAATCCCAGCAGGGTGAATTCTGTAACGCAGGCTTGGTTTTGCTTCTCTGTAGCTGACATCATGCTGAATCGTGGGGAAAGCAAACACTAAAAGGTAATATAAAAATTTAAAAGCTGTTTTCCACGCATGGCCGTAAAGATTCTTGGATCCAGTCTCTATGTGCCTATAACTTACATAAAATTCCAACTCAAAACATTTCATCAATGTTTTCTGTGAAAAAAAAAAAAAAAAAAAAAAAGTCTTATCTCAGTGCCAATTACTGCTGGTATGCCTCAGGGACAAGATAGTTATCTTCTTTTCTAAGGAGTGTAGATGATTACATGCCAATTTTTGCCTCAGTGTCCCGGCCTGTTTCCCTGTCTTGTAGAGGCATACCCTAATTCTGAAATTTTGTGCTGTGGATATAGATTTATATACTTCTGCTCCTTTGCAGATCACCCAGCTATGCCAGCATAGAGAAAGGTGTTCAAAACTCCCTACGCCTAAAAGTAGGTAGTTTGCAGACACATCAGATCGGTTTCTGCAACCAGATAATCTTCACGCAAGATGTATTATACTTTGCACCTCGGGTGACCCAGTGTGTTTGCAGGGTAGGGAAATTTTAGGCATAGGGAGTAGGGTCTATGCAGTTTGGTCAATGCCTTGTCACTTTAAAAATATTGGGACATTTGGATAAACCTGTGACTGGCATAATAAAGTTGTGTCAGTAAATGAGAACTACTGTGCCACTATTGCCCAAGTTCCCTCACAGGACGACCTGAAGCAAACAAGAAACATGGAAATAGTTGTGCTGTGAGGATTATAAAAGGGACCAGCACCCCAGGGTGAAAGACAGAGTAGGCCAAGTCAGTGGTGCACACAGACTGACTGTTAGCATGGATGTCAAGTCAATGGTAAAAACACGTATGAATGCCCTGGCAGATACCAAACCCTAAAGTGCTTTCTTTTCAGTCTACACTGGAGTGACAGCTCAGCATGGTCTGGGCTAGACCCCAGATCTCTTGAGTGTTTTTATCTCTTGCCTTCAGTGTCAAACACACAGCAAATATCAGACAGAGGATAAAAATAAGGCAGAAATTCAAAAAGGTTGAAGTGTCTAGTTTTTCCTATAACTTTTTCTTCAATTTTTTGTCTAACAACAAACTGAAATGATTACATTAAGTTGTTCACATGTGGTATGCATATTTTTAGCAGTGGTTGCGCTTTCTGCACCTAGCATTGGTGATCTAGGAGTGAGAAAAGACAGTGCCTAACATAAACATCTCAGTGCCAAACTCAAGCGTCTAATTTTAGAAGTCTCCTGAGCAATGAGCTTAATTACACTGCCTAAACACAGGCATCTAGGACTATTTTGGATGCCCAAAAATATCAGAACTCCAGCTATCACTCCAGAAGGATGTCCCATAGGTCCCGTGCCATACCATTGATTGGAAAATGTCTGTCGTAACCTAGAGTATGTGAAATGGCATTTGGCTCCTTTATTTGGCACCTGAATCCCACTGTAGGTTGATCAGCTGAATAGCTCTCCAGGCCATATTGACTAAATCTTCATAAACTATAAATGGGAATTTAGACATCAGAACCGTGTATACAGGCCTACGCGGTAGAAACTGCAACATTAAGTGTTTGATTCTGGGACCAAGTGCAGGGTTCATCTACTTGAACATAGATCTTATTCTGAGATTTCTGCAGACTGATGACAGATGTGACACAATACCTACAATAGACCTGCATCCGAAACCCAAATGAACTTAAAATGACACTGAACAGATACTTAAGTAAATTAATCCAATTTTCAATACACATAATTTAGCTTGAATTTTATGGAAGATAAAAAACTCCATGTGAAGTAAAGTTAACTTGAGTTTATTCAGTGTCAAATTTGGCCAGAGGAAATCTTAACCCTCAAGTTCAGGTGAACAGAAATATCATTTTGTGATTATGTGTTCTTCTTTGAGTTTATCATTGCAAAAAATTTCACTCATGTCCAACAGATAAAGTGAGAAGCTCCTTACACAACTCTCTGAAATTCTTTTTCCGTACAGCCCAAAAGCACTAATTTTTATTACTTGTCTCCAGGGCCTACTTACTGCTAATGCTCAGTATGGCTGGCTGCCTTGTATTTCAGGTAATCTCATAGCCCAAAAGAAAACTGAAATTTTAATAAATCCATCAGGAAGATCGTATCTGTACTGGCAAGATGTTCTTTGGCCTAAACGCTGGTGGAACACCTGGTTAAAACAATATCCAAAAGAAATTCAGAGTTGGTGTTATATGGTTATAATATGAATGCTTCTGAAGAGTCACAACTCGTAAAATATTCATTTTGTTCTCTCTTCCTTAATTCACAAGAACACTAGGTATAAGCCTTCCATGTAGCCAAAGGTAGGTACGCACCTGAAATACGCAAAATCTCCTCCTGTCGGCCTACCTTTTTTTCACCAGAAGCAGATAATGAATTTTACATTGAACACAATGTGCACAGAACATCACTGCAGATTGGGACAGTCCTGGATAAGTCCACCTCTGCACTCATGAACCTTGCATTACTTTGTCCCCATGGTACAACTCATGAAGACAGATGGCAGAGATCCTATGATGAATCATGCCATAACTTAGGCACTAGGGTACCATCTGGTAGTAGGGAAGCTGGGGGTAGTGACTCTTTGAGCTACATGGCAGCCAGGACTCAATTATTTTGTTTACTGAGCAAGTGCTGTAAACATTCTCAGGTTTAAAAAGGACAGAAATCTCCTCAGATACTTAGAAACTGGAGTCACTTCACCCAAACTTAATCTCCTGAACATCTGACTATTTTAACGGGATATCTGGATATCTACAATCAACAGGATACTCACTGTAACGTTCTCAGTAGAGGGAGACAGAAACTTCTGAGAGTTTCCATAGCCTCTTCAGGTGATAATATTGGTATTTGAAGACTCTCGTTGCCCATTCTTTCTTCACTTTTTAGATGGAGCTTGTAAATAGCTACCTGAGGCTAAGTACAAATCAATAGTTTGTGAATTAATTATATGAAGGCATTCTGGCACCAGGAACAGAGATCTGTCTTCTGGTGTGTATTGTCCCCCAAACTAAAGCCTCTAGATGACATACATAGAGACTGTGGCAATGATGTAGCTGAGACTGATTGAACATAAGCATTTTATTTCTACCATGGAACTGACAGAGTGGCTACCTAGGGGGAAACTAAGGGTGTTCCATGTGAAAGTCAACAGGTAGATGTTGTATTTTTGAAACATATTTATTCCATCTCATATTAACAATCAAAACAGGTAACAGTCAGTCTCTGCAGTTCATCTAGGACCAGCTCTGCACCTTCACAGACCAAAGTCACTGTTATAGAAATGTATATTTCAGATTGTTTTGACGACACTCCCATCTAGCGGTATTTGCATAATACAACTTCCCCTTCTACTTTTTTGAGACTTACCTTTTTTCATATGGTCTTTGAATTTCCCCATGTTCTTACAATTTCTTCTTTTATTTTTGAGGCTCACCAAGCTGATGCAAAGTTTTACTTTGCCAAGAGATATATAATCATCAAGTTGTTTCTGTCTGGCCTTGGAGACTAAGCAGTCCAAGCATTAACTAATAAATGACAGTCCACCTGGCCTTCTTAAATGTGAGCTAGGAAACTGAGATTAAAAACCAGGACCCAAAATAATAATCTCACTTATTTGTGATACCACAGCTAGGAACACAGTCACCTTGCAGAAAAAAATGATCAAGCAACATCTGCAGAGAATGACTGACACAGTTGTTGATTGACATGGAAACGGGACACACTTGCAACATTTTCAGTCACCAGATTTTGGCATATTGGCTGAAAAATGGGATTTTGAATGAATAAGCATGTTGTGGGTTGAGCCTGGTCAGTAGCCAAACACCACACAGCCGCTCACACACCCTCCCCCCCCACCTGGGAATAGGGGAGGGAATTGGAGGGGTAAAGGGAGACCTGCAGGTTGAGATAGAAACAGTTTAATAATGGTAATAAAATGAAAACAGTGACAGTAATAGAAAATATAAGTGGGCAATGCACAATGCAATTGCTCACCACTTGCTGACTGATACCCAGCCCCTTCCCAGCTAGTGATCCCGAAATATCAAGACCCCACAATCGCAATCCCAGAAGCGAGAGAGAGCCCCTCCCCGATCACCCCTCCTCTATATAATGAGCATGATGTTACATGATATGAAATATTTCATTGTCCAATTTGGTTCCTGTGCTCTGGCTGTGCTCCCTCCCTGCAACTTGTGCACTTGCACACAGGCGGAACATGGGGAGTTGGAGAGTCCTTGAAATCTCAGCAGCAGCCGAAACGTCAGTGTGCTATCAGCATTCTTCTCATACCAAACCTAATGCTGAATCCAAAACACAGCACTATTTTCGTTGCCAAAAAGAAACATTACCTCTATTCCAGCCCAACCCAGGACAAAGAGTTTAAAGGAAAATTTTTAATTAGATCTGTGGAAAGAAATGTGTAAGTCTTACAAAGTTATGCCATCATAGGTGGTCCAGATGTAAGTTATTGGATAAGTGTCCTTATACGGCCTTCACTACTGTAGTGTCTGGTCACCTCCCTATAGTGGCAAAATGTAACAAGCAATATCAAAAAGGAGGTGCAGTCTGCATGACAGAAGCTGACTTCTGAGCTAATAACTTAACCTCCTGCTATCGTCCATGGAAAGAAATACATAAATTCCTTAGATGATTTAGTTCATACAAAGTAGATATATAAAACATATTGGATGGATTACAGCCCACAGAGCTTACTTCTCTCTGTAGACTATAAGAGAAACTATAAGAGGAGTCTGAGGTGAATGCCTTAGGTGCAGATACAGGTGACATTAATCTTGCCGAAGATGGTTCAAGTAGATGCTGTTAAATTGGAGTGCTAGATCTGGGAAGACAATGGGCTGGAAAAAACCCACCAAAGTTGTATTTGTAGTAGAGGACACATTTACACAACCCTGGGGCTGAAGATTGTCCCTCCCAGTCTGTGAAGGGTCATGGCTGAAATTTGTGTTGCCAGCTATA